TCTTCAGATTTCAGTTTTCATTTTTTAGTTTTCAGTTATCAGTTATTTGTTATCTGTTATCTGTTTTCTTTTATCTGTTACTTTTTATCTGTTATCTGTCATCTTTTATCTGTTATAAGTTATCTGTTATATGTTACCACCTGTTACCTGTTACCACCTTTTACCTGTTATCTGTTATTTTCCATATAGCATTGAAAATATCCTGTATACAATTGTATAACAGACTCAGATTTATGTGAGATGCCGGCAACGTCGCATGTGTTGTTGTTAATACCATACATGGCGTTATAAAATCTTCCATGTAGCAAATTGTATAGCAGACTTAGATTTATATGAGGATCGTCGCATAAATCTAGCTATAACACGACTTGCAAAAAAATGGCGCTTGACACTGACATATGTCAACCGTGTTCGTCTATGGATAGCAGTGGACTATGCTTTCTTCAGTGTATATGTTTTCTGTTTTGTAATGTCAATGTCATTGTCATAGGTAATTTTTTCTAACCTGGAAAATGAAATGTATTTTGTTTAAAATTAAAATTCAATAACTCCTATTGTGAGATGTGTGCATCTACAACATAATGAAAGGAAAAATTAAGATTCTGAAAGTTAATTCCTAAATATCATAGTAAGGAAATCCGTAAAACTAAAAAAAAGTAAACATAAACACCTTGAGAAAACTTCTTCCGTATCAAGTGGTTAAAGTGGAGTTTTAAAACAATTTTTGTTGAAAATAAGGCCGTTAGTTTACAAGCAGGTATGTAACTGAGCGATCCGCTAATGTGTGTGTATCTTGCTTATAAAAAATGCTGTATTTAGATATTGCTATTCACATGAGTTACCGTTCTTTGATAGGATATTTTCAAATTGAACTTTTGTCTTATTTTTACTATTTATTGCAGGAGAACAGTTGTTGAACCAGGTCCTGGTGCATACTTATGTAGTTGTCACTTTGTGGATGGGAAAAAAGAAATAGACCTACATTGTTTAGGTATACTAGGGAGAAGCAATTGAACTTTCCATCGCCAGAAAGAAGAACCCGTAAAAATAACAACAATGTGAAAATTGAACTCTATAATATGTTACTTCAAATTGGGCCCTTTTAAGGGATGTATGTAATAATTATGTGATCTGCAGAATAAAAATATTTTCCCAATAAGGAGCATACTGTTAATACAACACATGGCATCATAAATTATTTTAATGTAGAGTTCAGTACTCGTATAGGTAACTTTCACTCCCCTGGCAGGCTTAATCTAAGCGATATCACAAATATGTCTATACCAAGTTACGATTATACTGTGCAAGAGTACTTACCTTACAAATTTTGACAAGTAATGGTGTCTGTTGTTTTGACAAGTCTTGGAAGTCACAAGTTCTTAAAGCAGCTACATTCTAAATCGATTTAGATCAAAATAAACAACTGCAGTGGCTGTGAAAGTCTTAGTAATTTTGAAAACTTTGGTAGTAGATATGATTATCAATGCTATTTTTCAGCGCTTTGCATATTCCTTCATCTGCTTGATAATATTTGCCAATCGAAGGGATAGATGACAAGTTTGTTTACTTATTTTCCATTTATACATACTACTCAGGTGAGATACTACTACTACAAGGTTTTTACAATATTTATGAGTTTGTTGGTGGTAAAGTTCTTCGTTTGGGAAAAATTCAACAGAAGCAGATGAACAATGCTCGCTTTATGATCTGGAGAAAAATGTGCTATCGCTTTAAAATAAAATTTCCTCTATTTTTTTAATGTTGTATGATTATGATCAATCAATTAGAAACATGACATATAATAAAAATCTCAAAAATTAGACCAGAAGCTTGAAATTATTAAGTACTATAGTTGTTGGACAGTAAGTAATAGTATCGCTTGAAAATCAAATTTTGTAATCTGTTCCTCTGATTCAATAATGATTTTTTTTGTAATCTATGATTAAGATCAGTCTTAGAAACAGGACAGATGTGAGTATCCTTGAAATTAGACATATAATAATAACATCTTTAAAAACAGAATAGAAATTTGAAATCATCAAGTGCTATAGTTTTTTGACAAGTAATGGTGTCTGTTGTTTTGACAAGTCTTGGAAGTGACAAGTCCTTAAAGCAGCTACATTCTAAATCGAAGTACATACATTCTGCATTGAGATCAAAATAAACAACTGCAGTGGCTGTGAAAGTCTTAGTAATTTTGAAAACTTTGGTAGAGATGATTATCAATGCTATTTTTCAGCGCTTTGCATATTCCTTCATCTGCTTGATAATATTTGCCAATCGAAGGGATAGATGACAAGTTTGTTTACTTATTTTCCATTTA